TAAAAATAGGAGTAGATAAATGCATCAACCATAGATTCTTTCAAAAATAGAGATTATTTGTAGCCAGTGCTAATATCAAATGGTAAAGGGACCATTTCACAAGCATTTACTTCAAAAGTAGATAAAGTTACTTACAGTTTTATTAGATACTTGCCAAATTCACTTGTGTTCAAACATGAGTGAATGTTGACAATGCAAAAGTCCATATGAGTGTAGCCTAGATTAATGCCTAGATTAATGAGATAGATTAGAACCAACAGAGATTCAAAAGCATTTTGATGTATTTGGGTATAGCACAAAAACACAATAGTAGATATTTAGATATTGAGAAGTTTCCAGCACAAACACCATTGTAGAATAACTGACCCCAACCCCAAACCTGCTAAAATAGATTAGCTCTTGTAATGATAATACTAATTTGATTAATGATGTTCATTCATTCCAAACTGCCTGACAATAATATCTTTAGATAATAAAAAGTAATAAATCACTGACCACTATAGAAGTGTAAATGTTGACCATTTGCCTTACTGTGTTCACAGTTTTATTCCTGAGAATGAGAATAGACATGGAGCAAAATCCCACTGATAATAAGCCACTAATAATGAGAGTGTAATACCACAGAGAGATTTATTAGATTAAAATGTATGTTTAAGAATTTGGCTCAATAGAAGCAAATATACAAACATATTTGTAAATAGATTAGAATAGTTTTAAACTATAGTGAATAGTGAAAGTAAAGTACACAGTCTAAGATTAAAAAGTGAAAATAATACAGTGAAATAAGTGAAGTGTAAACAATTAGCATTAGAATAAAAGTATAGAGTAATAAAAGTGAAATTAGCTTCAAATTTGAGACTCAGCTCGTTTTTTGTCTGTGTTTTGACTGAATCTGCTGAGTTCTACTGTGTCCAATAGTTTTTGTTTGTTTTTATTTTTGTTTGTTTTTTATTTTTGATTTGTTTTTGTTTGTTTTTGTTTGTTTGTTTTTTTCCCAGGATAGAGGATAAAATCCACTGATATTGATTTGATGATTATGAGTTTAATGCATACATTTTCTTTGTTTTTAATAATTTTTTGAAGTTTTTTTTTGAATTTTTTTTTTTTTTTTTTCTTTTTCCATTTTATTGATTGATCAAATTGAGTGATCACATGTGATTATGTGATCAAAGGGGAGGGTATTAGTATTAGATAGCAATATGGCCTACGTGCAGGACTGTACAAGGACTCCATGTTATGACTATGATGTGACTGTCTCTTTGTGACACGTATGTCTTTCGATGTGTGACGTGACAATGACTATATAAACTGTGTACTGCCTTTATTCTGTCTGAGGAAAAGAAACAGAGTAAACCAGTGGAACTTGAGAGCAACTTAAATAAACTTCCAGAGTTTGGCACACCACGATCCGTCTCTGTCTGCTTAAATCCTAACAGTAGTGAAGGTGGAGCAGCGTCTGTATTCAGAGCTGTATCAGACTGTTGTAGTGAAGGTGGAGCAGCGTCTGCATTCAGAGCTGTATCAGACTGTTGTGGTGAAGAGGGAGCAGCGTCTGTATTCAGAGCTTCTATCAGACTGTTGTAGTGAAGGTGGAGCAGCGTCTGCATTCAGAGCTGTATCAGACTGTTGTAGTGAAGAGGGAGCAGCGTCTGTATTCAGAGCTTCTATCAGACTGTTGTAGTGAAGGTGGAGCAGCGTCTGCATTCAGAGCTGTATCAGACTGTTGTGGTGAAGAGGGAGCAGCGTCTGTATTCAGAGCTGTATCAGACTGTTGTAGTGAAGAGGGAGCAGCGTCTGCATTCAGAGCTGTATCAGACTGTTGTAGTGAAGAGGGAGCAGCGTCTGCATTCAGAGCTGTATCAGACTGTTGTGGCGAAGAGGGAGCAGCGTCTGCATTCAGAGCTGTATCAGACTGTTGTAGTGAAGATGGAGCAGCGTCTGCATTCAGAGCTGTATCAGACTGTTGTGGTGAAGAGGGAGCAGGGTCTGCACTCAGAGCTGTATGTCACTGTTGTGGTGAAGAGAAAGCTGAGCCGAAAGACAAAGCTCTTGATTTATTGGCCTATCTACATTCCCACCCTCCCCTATTGACATGAGCTCTGGTAATGACCGAAAGGACAAGATGAGAGAGGTCCAAATGAGATGGGGAGGAGCTCAGAGTAGAGCCGCTGCTTCTCCACATCAAGAGGAGCCAGTTGAGGTGGCTCGGGCATCTGTCTCTGATGCCTCTGTGGATGGATCTGTGGAGATGTTCCCGGCACGTCCCACCAGGAGGAGACCCGGGGTAGACCCAGGACACTTTAGACGGACTGTGTCTCTCTCTGGCCTGGGAACGTCTCGGGATTCCCCCAGATGAGCTGCAGGAAGAGATTGGGAAGTGTGGGCGTCGTCTCTGTTTAGACTGCTGCCCGGCAATGGATAAAGCAGACGATAATGGATGGAAGGAACTAGTGATAGAGCCAAACTGTTTTGAGAAGGAGTTGTATTTCAGGTACCCCAGCTTTAATAATACAACGCTAGGCCGATCTCCACATTCGACCCGTTCGGACCCTGCTGTGGGATCATTAATGGGATAAACATGTGCCTCTGTGTGACGGACAGCTCCATAAACAAACACTTGAGCAGACAAAGACAGGAAACTGACGGAGACGGAGCGGACGTTACATAAGGCCCAAATACAATACAATGCAGTTGCCATGGAGACGGGTCCGGGTTTAGAGCTGGTTTAGCGCCACGCGGTTTGGTCCTGATGGTTTTGAGATGCAGAAGTCCTATATCGACCATCGCATTTGGAGTGGGCGGAGCTTCCTGGTGCTGCAAGTATAATGCCCCAATACAAATGCCCAAAATGGTTTGAAAAAAAAAGGTAATATTAAAGATTGAAAACTTTAAAACCACATATTATTAGATCTTTATTTATGATTTTTCTTTGTAATTGAAAGTTCACAGTGTAATATATTTGTTACCATGGGGACAGATTCTGTATTTGGTCCTAATTCAACTGGTGAGATAGTAAGGCAAGGCACGTTTATAAGTATAGCACAGTTCATACACAAGGCCACTCTAAGATTGATAAAACAAGATAGCCAACTTCAGCACATTTTAAAGCTCAGAAGTTGTACAATCCAGTTTGTCGGGCCCTGGACTGGTCTGGTGAACTAAAGCGCCCCTCTTACTAACAAATTTGGAAACTAAATGGTCTTAAAATGTAGTTTACTTGCTTTGAGGTTCTTTTCCTCTCCCATTTTGTTCCCGTTTGCCTCCGAGGGCTTCTCACTGCTCCCGTTCATGATTAAAGTGTGAACTGAACAGTGTGTCCAGACCAAACCTCAAAGCCACTGAACTGGACTCAATCCAGAACTTAACCAGGACTAGTGTGAGGGCAGCCTGGAGCAGCACCGGGCATTAGGGACGCATTCATACGCTCACGTTCAGCACATCCACGTTTAAACAAATCCAAATGGATCCAAGACTGAAGTACTGCAATAAAACCCTGTAAGTCTTGTGCGTCTGTCTTTTGTCTGTTTTGTCTGTTTGTGTCTGGTTTCTCAGATATTCTTGTTTTCCATCTCTTTTAAAGGGTAAAGGTGCATTTTATTAATCCCTGTAGGGCAATTCATCCTCTGCATTTGACCCCTCCTGATGCTGCGAAGGCTTACGTCAGGAGCAGTGGTCGCCGTAGTAACAGGGCCCGGGAACCCATCTCCAGAGGTTGATGCTCGGCTTGGTCAGGACCAGAGCTGGAGGATTTAACCTTGTGTGCATGTGTTTAGAGGTAGGAGGAAATCAACGCAAGCACGGAGAGAACATGCAAACTCCACACAGACAGACCCCGTTCTGACCGGGATTCCAACCCAGGACCTTCTTGCTGAAAGGCGAGAGTGCTATTCTCTGAGCCGCCTTTTTGCTTTGTTTTTAATATATATTGATTTATACTTGTAGGATTTTTGTTGGATGCGGAGGACATTTTTGGTTTTGGTTGGGGCATCTAATTTGTTATGAATTGAGTTGTTAGGCTTTGAAATAATGCAAATAAAGACAATTATTTTAAAAAAAGAAAGAAAACAAATTAATCCTGGCTGTCCATGCACGATTAGATTAAATTAAATTAAACTTTATTGTCTTACAATAATAATAATGCATCGGTTTTATACAGCGCTTTTCTGGACACTCAAAGACACTTCACATGTGTCATTATTCATTCACTCCATACACGGTGGTGATAAACTACTACTGTAGCCACAGCTGCCCTGGGGCACACTGACAGAAGCGAGACAACCAGTCTGTGCCATCGGCCCCTCCCACCACCACCAACCATTCACACACACCACACTCATTCCAGGCAATGGGGGTGAAGTGTCTTGCCTAAGGACACAACGGCAGTTTGGCACTTTACAGCCGCAGCCGTCCCACTGTGGCTGGTGTTCCCAGAGGTTAAGTGTCTTGCCCAATGACACAACAACAGCAGACAGTGGGAGTCGATGGTGAAAGTCTTGAGCGGGGCTTGAACCCACGACCTTCTGGCTCAAAGGCCAACGCTCTACCAACTGAGCTACTGCCGCCCTTGTAAGAATGTAACAAAAAGCAGTTTAGCGTCTAACCAGAAGTGCAGTAGTACAAGTATAGGATAATATTTACAACACTGATAAACACACAAAAACCATGTTGTATTTATACAAAGAGAGCGTTACAAACCAAATGTCAAAATCTCACTCTCATCGTGGAACCGATCCCGTCTCGAGGAAATTGAGTCTCATCCAATCCCTGGTGTTTTCCCCATTTTTATAACCCAGGATAAAACTTTAATGATAATAATAATAACACATACTACTTACTACTGTGCTTTACTCATTCACTCCAGACACTGTGGAGGTAAACTACTATTGTAGCCGCAGCTGCCCTGCCACAGCCTGACGCTCAATCGACAGTTTGGATTTTTGCAGATTTTAAATGTAAAAATTATAAAAGAAAAAGAAAGAAAGAAAAAGACTAGAACTCACCCGTCGGTAGTAGACAAACAGACAGCAGCCCATCTTTACATCCTACAGTTGGGATTTCACCAAAACTGACCAGGACTTAACCAGGTCTGCACCAGGTTTGAAGCCGTACTAAACCAGGACTGAACCAGGACTAAACTCGGTCTTAAGCAGGTCTGCGGCAGGTCAGAAGCAGGACTAAATGAGGTCTGAACCTGGTCTGAACAAGAACTAAACCAGGACTAAACCAGGACTAAACCAGGATTGAATCAGGTCTAAACCAGGTCTGGAACAGGTCTGAAGCAGGACTAAACCTAATCTGGAACTACCCCACGTCTAAGTCAGTATCAGTTGGCGCTGTGGTGGGTCTCCCTGGACTTGTCTCTATCTGGACTAAAGTTGGACCACAGTCGGGGAGCAGGGCCATTGTTGAGGCCATTCCCGTTGGACAAACAGGAAGTGACAGTTGCCGGGGGAAACGACGGGACGCTAATATTAGCATTGACGGAGAAAACAGACTGGAGCCAAGTGCAGTCCCATTGGCCACCAGTAGGGGCTGGTTGCACAACACGAGGAACTGGAAAGAATAAGGTCGAAGACACAACACGAATGCTTAAAAATGTCATTCTGACTATAATTTATGAACTCATAGAGAAATATTAGGCTTTTTGTAAAGTTGTACTCACAGTTTAGGCCTTTGCTGTCTGACTGATGCTACTCTGATATGTGTTAAATCCAATTCACATTTGATATATTTATTGGATAATATTTTTAGGGGGTTTTCTAGGCCGCTTCTTACATGTGGGTCAAGTGAAGAAGGTTATAAAAACTATGCACGAGGGATACTACAACAATACTTAATGTCACAAGAGTAAAGTTTGTATCATTAAACCAGTGGGGGCGGGTCCCGGCTCAAAAGTGGCCAAAATGACGTGCGCTAACATGCTGCAATACCACCCCGGGCCTGTGGGGGTGGACTCGGAAGAAGAATTAGCCAATGCTAACATATAGCATCTTCTGACCTCTCGAAAACGTCTTTACAGGATGGACCAAAAGTTGTCTCTTGGCCCAAAGCTCCGTTCCACATGTGTGTCAATGCTGAGGGGGGTGTTTTGGTCCACTCTAGTTTACTTGCTGTGAATTTTCACAGTCTCTCGTTTAAATGAATGGAGCTCGTGCCGACTGACACATGCGCAGATGTGTTTTTTCATATTTCCCAGACCCCCCGGCCATTTTGAAACTGCCCATAGCCCGCGGTAGTTGTGGCACATTAGTTAGAACGGCGGAGATGAGCGTGACTACGTCCGTATACAGTCTATGCATTAAACCTTTTAAATAGGTTTAACATGTTTATATTGCTCTGAGTTGATTACAAACTTGCTGTAATCCATTATAATGTGACTTTAGAAGACTTATTTTGAAAGTAGAACGTTTTCTGATGATTGTTTTTTGAAATTTAGGTATCCGTCTTCCCCAAGCACAGCCGTAAAAAAAAAAAAAAAAAAACAGAAACCCTTTCCCACTGTTTTCCATAACAGTAGGATTTCAATATGTGAAAAAACATTGGGTAAAGCCTCAAGAAAGGAAAAAACCCTCACGTGAACAGAATTTGTGAATGTGTTGAAACTCGCATCATTTACAGTCTGTGCACAAACATGTATTTGTTGTATTTGTAAAACTCACCGCTCTGATGGGCCATGTGGGCTCAGGCTGCAGTGATGAAGACGAGGGCCTCTTCTGCAGCTTCCACCTGGAGGACAAGCACAAACCAATAAACATTCAGTGTCAGGCAGGTCCAACCTCAGGCCCACGGGCCAATCGTGGCCTTCTGTGTCATTGTATATGGTCCTCTGACTTGTTGAGCAAAAGTAACCACAACCACAAGTCTACAGTGTCATCCAGCCAGCTTCAGCTCTGTCAATGTAAACTTGTTATACCTTGTTGTAAAGCTCTCTGTCTGTCTCTCAGTCTCTCTGTCTGTCTGTCTATCTCTGTCTCTCAGTCTCTCTTTCTTTCTGTCTGTCTATCTCTGTGTCTCTCTCTGTCTGTCTATCTCTGTCTCTCTCTCTGTCTGTCTATCTCTGTCTCTCTTTCTGTCTGTCTGTCTCTGTCTCTCAGTCTATCTTTCCGTCTGTCTATCTCTGTCTCTCAGTCTCTCTCTCTGTCCGTCTATCTCTGTCTCTCAGTCTGTCTGTCTGTCTCTGTCTCTCAGTCTCTCTGTCTGTCTATCTCTGTCTCTCAGTCTGTCTGTCTGTCTCTGTCTCTCAGTCTCTCTGTCTGTCTATCTCTGTCGATCAGTCTGTCTGTCTGTCTCTGTCTCTCAGTCTATCTTTCCGTCTGCCTATCTCTGTCTCTCTCTCTGTCCGTCTATCTCTGTTTCTCAGTCTGTCTGTCTGTCTCTGTCTCTCAGGCTCTCTGTCTGTCTATCTCTGTCGATCAGTCTGTCTGTCTATCTCTGTCGATCAGTCTGTCTGTCTATCTCTGTCGATCAGTCTGTCTGTCTGTCTCTGTCTCTCAGTCTATCTTTCCGTCTGTCTATCTCTGTCTCTCTCTCTGTCCGTCTATCTCTGTCTCTCAGTCTGTCTGTCTGTCTCTGTCTCTCAGTCTCTCTGTCTGTCTATCTCTGTCGATCAGTCTGTCTGTCTGTCTCTGTCTCTCAGTCTATCTTTCCGTCTGTCTATCTCTGTCTCTCTCTCTGTCCGTCTATCTCTGTCTCTCAGTCTGTCTGTCTGTCTCTGTCTCTCAGTCTCTCTGTCTGTCTATCTCTGTCGATCAGTCTGTCTGTCTGTCTCTGTCTCTCAGTCTATATTTCCGTCTGTCTATCTCTGTCTCTCAGTCTCTGTCTGTCTATCTCTGTTGATCAGTCTGTCTGTCTATCTCTGTCGATCAGTCTCTCTCGCTGTCCGTCTATCTCTGTCTCTCAGTCTATCTTTCCGTCTGTCTATCTCTGTCTCTCTGTCTGTCTTTCTGTCTGTCTCTCAGTCTATCTTTCTGTCTGTCTATCTCTGTCTCTCTTTCTGTCTGTTTATCTGTCTCTCAGTCTATCTTTCCGTCTGTCTATCTCTGTCTCTCTGTCTGTCTGTCTTTCTGTCTGTCTCTCAGTCTATCTTTCTGTCTGTCTATATCTGTCTCTCTTTCTGTCTGTCTATCTGTCTCTCAGTCAATCTTTTCGTCTGTCTCTCTCTGTCTCTCAGTCTGTCTGTCTATCGCTGTCTCTCAGTCTGTCTGTCTATCTCTGTCAATCAGTCAATCTTTTCGTCTGTCTATCTCTGTCTCTCCTTTTTTTTTTTTTTACTACTGCCTTTGTGATTTCATAATTGCAGCAACTAAAATGGCCTTTAGTCCTGCAGCTCCAAACTAAACTTTCAATACTAGCATAACTTCAAAAGCCTATTTACACGCTACCACTAAATCATCACTGCTATTTCTGTAATTCTGTAATTCAACATACTTTTTTCGGAGTTTCACCAGTATTTCAGTGTCTAGTACTGCTGGAGGCACCTGACCCGACTCTTGGGTTCAGTCCAAATATAAGCTCGCAGGTGCAGACGGCGAGACTGCAGCCAAACCCATTCATTGATTTCACTCATTCAAAGTTCCAACACTGAATCTATTGTACCTGAGAAATGTGGCTCCTCCGGTTCAGCTCTGCACATGTACCATTAAAGCATTTCACAACATCTCACATCAATGCACCCCGGCCAAACTAAAATACTTAACCCGTCTCAGTTTGTGAAATGCTGAGTGACATCCGGTGCATTTGGCGTACTTCATTTGCATAATCTCAGCGTTTGTGGCTGGAGGACTATCTGCTGAACGAGCAACTCTACTGTCTCTTGGTCTAGATAAGGTCTAAGATCTGATTGGACTTGTTTGGACTTGGCCCCATTCTGACAGCGGCGAACTCTGATAGACAGTCCACGTGAACAGAAGTCATATTTGTACATGTTCAAAATGATGTCTTTGGCAAATGAACTTTTATGGACATTTTTCTGAGACTTTTAACAACAGAATAAATGGGGAAAATGGACAGTGTGTATGGAAAAACAACATTAAGATTGCTTCTACGTGGCTTGTCACATTTTAGTTCTTTTTTTATGTTATAATGTCATTTTTTCAGGGAAAAAATGTGAAAATAATGTTTAAAAAAAAGTCTTCTAAGCTGCATGTTGTTGAAATGATGTAGTAACTACTGGTGGATTACTTGTAGATTAATCTATATTTGACACTAATGGTTCTTGCACGACCTCGACTAGGACTGCTAACTTTCCACTGCTTCTTGACAAGCAGAAGCAGCGGCTCTACTGCGAGCTCCTCCCACGTGACTCAGCTCTGCACTCTATCTCTGAGTTTCCGCCCAGCCACTCTGCGGAGGAAACTCATTTATTGACCATTTTGCTTGAAAAGGACTTGAGAGATTAGTGTCTTTTGTCTTAAAAAAACAGAAATATAATCATCTGTAATCCATTTCATTTCATTTTCAACCCCTTTGTCCATTTCTGGGTCGGGGGGGTGGAAATGAGAGCTGCCACCCAACGCTCATAGCACCAGTCCCTCGCTGATCTTCTGCAGGGGGTGAGTCCACAGGAAGATGGCTGCTCCGTCAATTATGAAACAGCCTTGATCTTTCAGCGGGGGGCTTCAGGCAATGTGGGGTTAAGTGTCTTGCCCAAGGACACAACGGCAGCAGTCATCAGTGGGAGCAGTTGGAGTAGGTCCCATGGTGGGAATCGAACTCACGACCTCCAGGCCCAAAGGCCAATGCTCTACCAACTGAGCTACTGTCGCCCCTTACAGGATTACTGTCATCTGTAATCCAATCAGTGCAAAAATAGATATATACACTCAAAACACTCATACTGGTGCGCGTTTTTGGTGGTGGGGGAAACCGGAGCGCCTGGAGGAAACCCACCCAGACACAGGAGAAAACATGCAAATTCTTCACATAAGTTTGTCCTTTTGCACAAAAACTAGGGATTGATCTGAAATTTTGTGAGTATAGATGGAAGGACATTTCAGGATGATTAGTTTAAGTGCGCATTAGCAGTTAGCACGTTAGTATTAGCAATTATATTATTATGTGTTTAAATGTAGTAATAATAAGGCATCAATAAGGCCCCAAAATAACCACTTGTTTTGTTTGCCAAAGCAGATAGTCAGTGCACCTTATCAACACAATTATTCTGTTTTCATATCGTCGCCTAACTTCATGCATGTTACAAAGTCCTTTTGAAATACTTGGATCCACACCCACCCCTGTTTCTCTAATGAATGAGTGTTCTTTTTGCTGCAAAGTTGTAAAAATGAGTTTATTGAAAGCAGACAGTCATGAGTTTCTGCTGGAGCCTCTGAGTCACTTCTGCTGCTGCTCCCAAACACAACCAACCACTCCTTTTCCACCAAAACACACTCAAAACATCACCATTTTTCTGTTTATTTTCTGTCAAAAACTATGATTCTTAAGTGTAGCCGTGCACAAGTGTCAGGTCTTAAACTGGACTGAATCAAAACCAAACCACTTCTTTGAGATTAGTGGAAAAAGAATGAACCTGCAGCTCCCAAACAGGACTAAACTAGCTCTGGACCCAGACTGAGCAAGACCAAATCCAGCCAAAGATTAAAGCAGAACTCCACACAAGACTTCTACATTTGCATTTTCTCTGCAAAAAAAAACTTACCTGGATCTTTTCGCTCCGCTGTCATTTTTCTGCATCTGATTCAAAGATAAAATCATCAAATATATAAATGCAGAATAAATGTCTTTGCTGTGATTTTAAAAAGTCCTTTTTCAATGAAGTTAGAGCAGATTCTAAAGACACAGAGCAAAGACTGTGGAGAGGCTGTGCTGAGCCAACAAGCCCCGCCTTCAAAATAAAAGCACTGGAGAGACCTGTAACACAGCGGGAGACTGTGCAGGACTGAGCCAGGACTAAACCAGGACTAAACCAGGTCTACACCAGGACTAAAGCAGGACTAAAGCAGAGATGAACCAGGACTAAACTGGGACTGAGCCAGGAGAGGCTTAAAGCAGGACTGAACCAGGTCTATACCAGGACTAAAGTAGGACTAAAGCAATACTGAACCAGGACTGAACTAGGTCTAAACCAGGACTGCACCAGAACAAAACCAGACCTAAACCAGAGCAATTGCAGAACTAAACAAGGACTGAACCAGGACTAAACCAGGACTAAACCAGGACTAAACCAGGTCTAAACCAGGACTGAACAAGAATTAAACCAGACCTAACCCAGACCTAAACCAGAACTAAACCAGGACTAAACCAGGACTAAACCAGGACTGAACAAGGACTAAATTAGGAATGACGAATGTCTGAACCAGGTCTGATCCAGGACTGAACTGGGACTAAAGCAAGACTAAACCAGGGCTAATAACAGGACTAAAACAGGTCTAAATCAGTTCAAGTCAGAGATTAATTTGGACTAATAATGAAAAATAAAATAAATTTCCCAAAACACATACACAGCCTTCATCTTCTGTGTTATGGACAATAATAAAATAATAATCAATAATCTCTGTTTTTATGTTATATATAAATCAGGATTGTCATGATGATGGAACGGTAAAACAGTGATTAGTGCTTGTGTGTCACAGCAAGAAGGTTCTGGGTTTGAATCCACCTTCCGACCTTTCTGTGTGGAGTTCTCCCTGTGTCTTTGTCAGTTCCCTCTGGGTGCTCCGGTTGCCCCTCCCACTAAAAACATGTACATTAGGTCTGGCGAGCGCCTCCTGTATGGCGACCTTGTAACTTTGGAGTAACTTTAAGACTTATAAATCACTGCGAAAGGCGAGATATAAAATAAAGATGACTTACTTTCTATTGGAACCAAAAACTGAAATCTACATCTGTCAAAATATATGAACTGTTGTAGAGTCTGACTTCAGCAGAAAAATATAAAAAGGTTTCAGTCTTTGATGGAACCTTGCAGACTCCATATAACCATATATTTTCTGTAAATATTAGCCATAGTAAGTTATATGTCCAGTCCCAGTCGTCTTACAGCGTCCTTTTATTGTGAAGGGTCCTCTGTGTCTCTCAGTTTTGTGCTGTTTTAAGCTTAAATCCTTCAGTCTTCGCTCCACTGACTTTGTTGAACCAGTTTCGTGGCTGTAAATCTCCCCCAGGCACAAACCACTGACAGTACAATCTCTTTATCAACTTTAACAACATGTTTTTATCAGAGGAAACTACATTATCTGGACTAGCATCGGACTGGAGACTCCTCTGCGTTTATATGAGCACTGTAAAACATGAGCAGAACACTCACTGCTTCTGCTCACAAAGAACTAAACTTTTCCCTTCAAGTTTGAACATGACCCTGGACTGAACAATGGACAGAAGTGGATAATAATGGTGGCAAGAAGATGTAAAATGTTTGTGTGTTATGTATATCAGGGGTGTCCAACCTTTTTCACCTGGGGAGCTACTTTCACAGGACTCTGGAAAGATCTAGCCTTAGATGGGGCGATAATAATGTGTCAGAATGTGCCATCAGCCCCGACCACCACCAACCATTCACACACACACACACACACCAGACTCATTCTAGGGAAAGTGAGTGACATGTCTTGCTTAAGGACACAGCAACAGTTTGATACTTTACAATCGCAGCCGCCCCACTGTGGCACCAGAGGTCTCCCATCACAGCACTAACTAGGCCCTGCCCAGCTTAGCTTCAGAGGTCTGACAAGATCTGACTTTCACATGCAGGTACTGTCACTATCGACAGTCATTCTTTATCATTTATTAAGTTTAATTTCATAAAGTTAGTGTGTGATATCCATTCAGTAAAGACCAAAGGTTTGGACACACTTTCATGACTGTTGCTGTAGACCCGCACCAGGCTGTGAAAGGGCTGTTTGACCAATAAGGAGAGAGATGGTGGTGGGCCACATGACCTCCACAGTCACCGGACCTGAACCCAGTCCAGATGGTTTTGGTCCTGAACCCAGTCCAGATGGTTTTGGGGCTGGACCACAGAGTGAAGGCTTCAAGACTATTGAAAACCATTTCAGGTCCTGTTGAAGCTCATCCAGAGAATGCCAAGAGTGAAGCAGTATCAGAGCAAAAGGAGCTACTTTGAAGAACCAGAATAAAACACATGTTTTCAGTTGGTTCATACTTTTTTGTAGTACGTACATAATTCACATGAGTTCATTCATAGTTTTGATGCCTTCAGTGTGAATCTACAATTTTCATAATCATGAAAATAAAAAAACTCTTTGAATGAGAAGGTGTGTCCAAACTTTTATATATACTGTATATATATATACATTTTATATATATATATATATATATATATATATATATATATATATACATATTTTTATTTTTTACAGTATATATATATTTTTTTACAGTATAATATATATATACTGTATATACAGTTTAAAAAAAACCTAAAACATACATACTAAAAAAACTTGTATACACAAACACACTCATTATACAACCACAACATATATGTAATATATATATATATATATATATCATAAGATTGTGTATGAATTAAGTAAATGTATATAATAAACTTGGTCATTGTTGATGTTACATAATACACAGGTAAAAAACTACTTGTTATGAGCTCGAAACACAAACATCTGATTTGGTTCCCCTGATTTAAAGCTATAGTCGTAGCTTTTTAAAGGTTTTTTTAAAGAATGCATATATTTGGCCATCAGCACCTGTTAGTTCATCTACAACAATCATAACCACCTAATTTTCAGTTTGTATTACAGAGTTAATTCTAAAGGTGAAATAAACAGCAGGCGGTTGAATGATTTTGCTAAACATGATAATTATGTGTTGTGTAGGAAAACTTTTCTTCTTCTCTCCTGTGAGTTCAAGTTGATCCTGGAAACAGATGCGAAGGAGTTCTTGGCCATTAGCTGAAAATAGTTTCTTTGGTCTTTGGTGTGTGTATAAGACAATTTATAAATGCTTTCTAAGATATTATGAGTGTGTGGCGGTTTTGACCAAGGCATAAGAAGAAGATTAAACACTTACTGCGTCTCTTGATTTTCTTTCTGCTAAAACATGACATTACTTTGGCAAAATCATGCAGGCTCTGTACCGCCCCCTGGTGTTCACATCAGCATGTTACCGCTCTGTTGGGGACGTCGTTCATAGAAATGGCTGCGTCTTGAGGCTTGGTTTTAATGCCATTTAGGGGAATTTAAATGCCTCCAACGTAGGTCAACGAACAATTTTACCATTTTACCGTCATTTACAATCAAAATGTGTCTCAATATTTAAAGCTGAGGTACTTATTTTTGTGTATTATAAATAATCAAGAGTCTGGTAAAAGTCGAATATAGAGGGATCCTACGGTCACGTGACTAGCAGCCACGGCAGCCATACTGGAGGACAACCGCGGCGAGTAACAGCCCTGCTAGCTATCTATAACTGGACGTTCAAAACTAGAACTCTCTCGAACTACATGAAAACTGAACAGAGAATTTGAAACTTCAGCAGTTAGTGACCCAAATATATACTCAACCTAAAGTCATGAATCAGATCCTCTGAAAATGCGTCCTAAAATGTATTATTAATGTTTATCGTTACATCCAGGTTTACCGCGGTCGCATATTATTGTCGCATTAAAACAGTGTTTTTTCATAAAAACGTGAACAGAAAATTCTAAAAACCTCTGTGCACGTGTATTAAGAATGTATATGTATAATGTATTCTCCGATTAACATTTAATGTGTTTATTGTTACACCATGGATCTATGTGTGGCTACACTGCAGTGGAAATAATGAGATTACATTCAAATCAATGGAGCTTTCTGCGTCTACTGTAGGAGCCGTATATTTTATTAATAAATACTAGTACGGGGCACCCTGGAGCACGGCTCAGTCGTTCACATGTCTGCTGGCCTTCGGTAAGTCAGATACCCTGTGAACCGGGTGAGGTCCTGTGTGAGACCAAATATATAACAGCTATGCTACAAGCTAAGCTACAGTCTATGGAGCAACCCCACGTTGCAGTCAGACAGATATGTTTTATCCTTAAACTTCTGTTTGTTTCGGAATAACACTAAATCCGCCATCAAATTGATTTCACTTAGCAGAAATGAAATGATCCGAGCATATTCGGGCGCTCTGGGGGCTATTAGTTTTTTGTTGTTGCTTATGGTTGTGCCATTTCTCTCTCGTTTCTTTGAGATTTCTTCTGTTTTTGAGCCGTGTGAAGTAAGGACGGCTGGCAGTCGGTAACACAACTTATTTTCCCTGTCTCTCCTTTTGCTGCAGCCAAAAACGGCAAACATTTAGAACATGTGTATGCGGTCCCGGGTGCACGCCACTATCATACAGCGTTTGCTTGTCCTCCAGTATGGCGGATGCCCCGCGAGTTCGAGGCATCGTGACGTCACGTGAGATATCTCTATTGTGAACAAATCAAACCCTAACAGGCAATCTTCATCTTGGTAGAAAACACATACCTTGTTGAGTCACTATTTGACGTTTTGGGCTGAATTTTCAGTCTATAGAAATTTTTTGCTGATCTACAGATGTGACAAAGGCCAAAAAATACATCCAAACTAGAACCAAACTATTCTGAGAGTCCATCCATCCATCGATTTTCTTCCCCTTAATCCATTTCTGGGTTGGGGGGGTGGCAGTCAGAGATGCCACCCAGTACACAGAGCACCAGCCCCTCACTGATCCAGGTGGTGAGTTCACAGGAGTCTTGATCTTTCAGAGGGGGCTTCGGGCAAAGTGAGGTTAAGTGTCTTGCCCAAGGACACAAACGTGACTGATTTTATTACACATTTCTTTCCGTTTTAAAATTAGGTACCTTTAATTAGGCAGAAAATATTCACACATTTAATGCCATAATCCCGTTTGTCAAACTTGAATCTTGCATATCCATTCATGAATATTTGAGGCACTCTTTAAAACAAGTAAAGCAGTCCGTTCATATTAAAATATTTATTTCTACACGACAATACTATACAACTCTATAAAATGTAGAAAAATATTAATAAACAGCTTTATAAACAAAACACAAAACAGAAATTTCCAAAATAAAATCTGTACAAACTGGAAACGTCGAGTTGTCCCTTCAAAATAAAAGTCCACACACAAGAACTTCCCTTTGATTTGTGTTGTACAAGCTTCGCAGCGGAGGAGGTGCACTTTTCTCTGTATTTCCACTTTAAAACTATTAAAATCTTATAAACTGCGTACATGTTAACATTCCTTTCTCGATGATGAATTTAAAAAACACATTAGGGAACTGTAGTCATCGCGGCGCAGTGGTCATAGTGGTCAGACCGACTCAGACAACAAGGTTTTGACTTTTTACTGTACCACTTCATTAAAGTTATATGTGAAACAAGTATGAAGGGTAAGAAAATGCTTTGCTCGGCCATCACCCATTTCCGAATTAGAAAATTACCGGCTGCAAACACAACATAATTGACCTGAGAAATTCCCCAGACTAAATTATGGGCAATACTTTTGTTTTGAAAAGACAGAAACCTGCTCTGATTGTGATGTCATAGGCGCGCAATGACATCATACCGTTACAGGACTCTGAGCTTTTAGACAGAAGTCACTGTTTGTCCCAGAAGTTGTGGATATTAGCGTGGATGGATCTAAAAACAACTTTGAGTCTATTTATGACGAGGGAATATTAAGTTGATCTTGCATGATATATCTGCATTAAAAGTAAACACAAAAATGCACACTAGGTACAATTTGCCAACTCCAACACGTCTGACTGAACTTTAGCTCAATATGGGTCAAATTCATCTTTCTGGTTCAAATGCTGCTTTTTAAAAGAGAGTTAAACCCTTTTTTCAGTCTTAAAAACATTAGCGCCGTTTTAAGATAGTCAAAAATAGGCTATGGAATAAATAATGATATGAGTAGATTCAATAACAACTAGAGGAAATGTATAATTTTGCTTCAAACAAGATAATTTAGTTAAGTTTCCATATCAAGCATAAACAGTAAAAAAATGTTGAGAAATGTTGATCCCGAAGGTTGAAGAGGGGAATATTGAAAGGTTCCTTCCACAAAACCGTGTCCACTGTGTACCATGTGATCGGCTGCTGCGCTCTGATTGGCCGCCTGCAGCAGTCTGTTGTGTGGCTTCTTGCATTTCTGCTTCAAAGTGCTATGTAACATCATAATTATTATCAACAGTAAATATTTCTGTTAAAACAAGCAAAAACAAAGGCTCGAAGCAAGAGTCCTTCACACGAGTCCAAAGAAGTGGTGACAAACACAGCTCTCTTTTGTCCATTCATAGACACTGCACTTTTCTGGGCCGATGACATCACCAGAGTCCTGCGCTCTCATTGGCTGATCACAGAGACATCACGGCGGAGTCCTGTCGGTGCAGTTCCGCCTTGCACACAGTGGTGGCGCTGCAGTGGAGAGAGGAGATGGTGGGAGGCTCCTCGTCGCCTGAAACACAAAACATTATCTGTTACGAATCAAGCACAATCCAACAAGAGACAGACAAGAGCAGTTTAATGCAATTATTTAGGTATTTATTTTTGGGATCAAATCATCTCCAACATGAATGAAAAAAACATCTCGGCAGAAAACATGTTTTTTGTTTTAATTTTCAATGATTTTTCCAGGTTTTCCTTTCCTATCTTTGACCCCTGTGATGGCAAGCGACTAGTATTCATATCTCCCTGCTCCAGGAAGGAGCAACTCTGCCTGGTTCTATTCATATGTCCCTGCTTCAGGAAGGAACCGGGCCCCCCGACACCTACAGACAATGGCGTAAATCACTGTCTCACTCTCGCCCCCCTTTCGCCTCTTGCATATCTATCGGTCTGTATGTGTGCATTTTCTACATCCTGCTTCTCGTCACACCCTTGTGTCTTTCGCGTCTGCATCTGTATGACCTGCATTTTCTACCATTGTCTGTCTGTTCGCACCTACATCCCCAGACGGCGCCAACGCTCCCCAGGCGCCTCCTCACCGGTGGCCCCCCTCCCATTCTGTTGTGGGCGGGACTGTCTTTCGTGTGTGTCTGTATACAGGAAACTCGGAGCTCTGCTTCAGAGCTAGTACATGCTGCCTTCGTGTCTGTATGTGCTGACTCTCCACACGTGTGTATATAATAAACTTACGCTTTTGATAAGACAAAGACCTTTTGAGTTTTCTCACTTCAGGACAATCTGGAATCAGTGCTTTTTAATCGGCAGCACACACCAACACACACTTGTATAATGCCTGCTCGGTCGCTATGATTGTACGGCCACCACGGCGCGCTCGCAATGTCCGCGGCGCAACACACACACACGCACACACACATAGCTCACACACCACCTGCTGCACTTTGCATCAGAGTAATGTGGACAAGTTTGAGATGTTTCTTTCCTTAACAACGCGATCCGTACTCGAGCTGTTAAGCTAAACCCCCACAGTAGAGAAGGTAAACAGAATCACGTGACCGCGGGAGTTTTCACATCCCTGTTGGTGACGATCGGGCCACTTGGCCTAGTTCGTTAATAAAAACCTATGTGACCATGCCCATAGATTACATCTGAACCATCTTATAAGTGTCAAATCTCTAAACATTAATTTTAAGTACGTTTTGTGAAATAAGGAGTGTACATGGTGCCGTGAGGACTTAAATCAACCAAAACACTTGTTATGATAATGATGAGAATATTTTGAATGGAGGCCTGATGTTAGGGTGAATGTATCTGAACTGCAGGTGCATAAGTTAAAATCGTCTGTGCCATTATCCTGGTTTAATTCTCTTGGATGATGGTGCATGATCCATCAGTTTGCTCCAATGTTAAATATAAGGTACCACAACTTTCACAACACATAAAATAGAATTATTTATTTAATCCATGTAACTAGTTCATGGTCTGAGTTGGGTTCTTTTTCAGACAGAAAAGAGAGACCACGGCTCCAATCCACTCTAGCGGCAATCCGGTCAAAGTGAACTCAAGCGGCTCTTTTACTTATGCAAACATGTTTTTCTAAAGGTAAAATGAGGACTAGCATGGTGTGGACTTTGTTCACAACATTTTACTGTTGGGTCAAACCAGATGTATTGAGTATGAAACATAAATGAGAGTACCCAGCTTTAAGGGGATACTCAATAGTAAAGTAATCTGCATATGATGGCTTTAACGCTTGTTATGTTCACTTCTGACAGAAAGCAATGTATAACTTTTGTTTTTTTTGGGTTTGGGTAACTTTGTTTTTTTTCATAAGATGTAGATGTATGATGAATGGTTTGAGATGCAGCTTAATGGTAAAAGAGTGCTAAACAAAGTGAAAAAGATAATCCAATCAGGTAGATTTCAGTTCCAAGCTTCAAGTAGATATGTCTGGGGTGCACTTAAGTGGTACACAAGGTACGCGTATGCGCGACAATATCAGAAATGCATACTATCACTTGAGTTTAGTAAGCGCACTACCATAGACCAGTCCTCCATGGGGGGTGTTGTGCAATGGCCAGAGGAGGCGTGTGCGTTGATCGCGGAGCACTTGCTGCTGTTTGCTGAACGTACTTGATAAATGGATTCCAAATACTCCGTGGCAGCAGCGTTTCTGACTCCAGGAGCCACTACGGCCTGCTTTGTAATTGACAGCGGCTCCTTGATATTGTACACAGCACGGACCATTCTGGCTTGTTGCATGTGTGTGTCTTTGAGAACGCAAATAATAAAATCTATTGGTTACTGGAGAAACAGAGTGGACTCTGGAGCCTTAAGGGAGTGTCCAGGCCCTTTCCCCGTGTTTCTCCAGCTGTGGTACTACATTTAGCTTGCATTAATAATGCATAATAATGTTGGTTGTGCTCAAAAGTAAAAATGTTGTGAACAAAATCAACAGAAAATTTGTTGTTTTTTTTTTTTGCATTTTATACAAGGAAAGAGCCCCTGTGAGTATTATTTGACTTGGATTGGATTATCTGAGCTGATCTAAACTTTCGCATAAAGTAAGCAGTATAAAATCTCCATTAAAACCAGACGCAAATTGGTGTTGAGTACAAAACACCATCTCTTAGTACTCATCTGAGAACCTCACTGAAAAAAGTTATGTGCACCCCATGGCTATAGTGACTCAAAAGCGACTCAAAAGGGAGTCACCAAATGGTTGAGGAATACCATAGGGGTTAAATGTTGGATGTAGTCTTACTTGGTTCAGGACAGGTCGTTTCCTCTGGATGGGGGGCGTTGTGGTCGAGGGCCCTTGGCTGCAGTCGGGGGACCCACGGTGAGCCTAAAGATGCGCCTCTCCTGTGATCCGCAGTAGTGGTGGTGAGGAAGCATGGAGTACAGGCCGATGTCTGCGGGACTCAGCTCCGCAAAAGGACAGAGAGAAGTCCCCCAGAGTGAAGGCATCCGGTCGATGCTCATACTTGTGCTGGCGGAAAAGTGCGGCCGTAGTCCCTGCGGCTCCCGGAGCATACAGGTCTCCAGGCGGCTCGGACCCGGTCTGGTCTCACTCCCGGAGCATGGTAGTCCCAGTTTGCCACTGTGCGCTCCTCCTGTGCCCTCCCGCCACAGGGGGCGCCGGTTCCACACATGGATAGCACCCCGAGACTGCCCAATAACCCCTGCACGTCTTCTCCCCGTCCCTTAGTACGCCTCTCTTTACGTGCTTGGAATAAGAATTTTATATCGGTAAGTTAGTTTCACATTGATAAAATCTGTCTTCTTTTCCCTCTTCATCATCAAAAAACTAAATATTTATTGTACAAAGCCAGGCGGTACCAAACTTGGAGAACGTGATTTATGGTAGGTAAGAAAATAAAAAAAAATAAAAAAAAAAAAATTCGATCCATACTAGTTCCTAACTCTAAACAGTTCTATCAGTAGTGTTCATGTGTGTTTTTTGGCAGGCTTATTTCAGACGAAATGCTAAAACAAGTAGTTCAGCCACTCTCAATCTCAACTCTCATTTCGTCAATAGTGGACTCACAGGGCATTTTCATACCTGTATGCATAATATAACACAACTTATAGAATGCTGTGATCGGCTTTGTTCTTATTTTTTGTGAGAAATAAAAATACTACAGCATTAAGGTTTACTTAAATTTTCTTGTAATTTGTCTTCTGTAAATTAAAATTTCATAAATCAATCATTATTAATGACACGGACAAAATAACACTTATTAGTGATTTTGGTCTAATATTCGTTCCACCTATTCATGTTTTGTTAACTATTTATTCAAGTTCTGGGTTTTATGAGTATCCCCTGTGTAGTCCTGTGTACGTGACTATGACTTTGAGTCGTTAATAGTTGAGGTGGAGCCTGATTTGGTGACGTTGAGTGGATTGGATGTTCTGGTGGACCTGGCGAGTAGTGGTGGTGCAGTTGCAGGTGTTGTCTCCATTGTCAGTCGTAACCACGTCTGTAAAAAATTTCAGGTCAGAAGCCTATAAAGCTGAAGACAATGAACATTTTCTGAGATCTTGTGATGGATATAAATGTATGGTTTCAATCTTTCTCCATTCGAACCAAACGGAAACAGAATGCTCTCTCCCTTTGTGAGCTTCCTTCATTGACGATCTTCTCTTCCTGGCTAGAAGCACTTTTTAACATTATTTAGCTTAGACTTGGCAAGAGGAGGGCGGGTTTCCATGGTTACGGCTGTTCTTTTGGCAGTATCTCACCAATTTGGCGTACCAATCCGTCTATCAACTTCAGATGTCTAATGTTCCTAATAATCTCTTCAATGTTCTCTGCCATTCCTCAAACTGCCTGTTCCTTTCCTTCTGATTATAGCTAAATACAGTTATTCTGGCTGATAGTTATATTTTTTTTCATGCTAAACACCCTTTGTTTTTTTACTCCATTACAATCAACCTAAAAAGCCTAAAATTCCCCCCCCCCCTTTACTAAATAATTTTACCTATAGTGCGTGTGTGTTTATGTAAATGGAAGATGAGCCATACAAACACAATATCTTGGTGTTCAGGGGGTCTCCGCCTGTTCCCATCAATATCCTTCAGGACATTATGTAATAACTTGCTAAAAAATAATTGTCATTGCTAGCAGTCATTATACTTTCTGTTATTCCGTTTAGTGGTCTTTCAAAAAAAAAAAAAAAATGTATAGATCAAATTGGCCATTGAGGAGTCAAATTTGGAGTATTAGCCGCAGCCACTGATAAAACATAATCTATAATAATAAATATAATACAGTGAGTGTGGTCTTCTGTTGATGACGAGGGAGAAGTTCCCGTCGTTAAGGCCTCCTCAGAGACGAGACACTTCGGGCCTTGTTGAAGATGTTGTAGACTCGCTGCTTGGATCAGGGACATGTCCAGGTCCCTCTTCTACAGAATACTCAGGGCTGCTGCGGACCACGTCCCCAGTGCTACCACGCGCTGCCGGTCCTTCAGTCTGTCCTGGGTCCCACACACTCCTGGTGCTTCTGTAAGGGAAGCACGGGCCCGAGAGCCAGCCGGGAGGGTTGATGTTACGGCCTCCACTACCCACCGGGGGGGAGCTGATTGACCCTGGCCCAGCACTGCCACGCACAACAAACACAGTATTGTGGTTATAATTTCAGAATGTGAGACTATAGAACCCCCCCCCCACCCCACCCCCAATGTGTCCACTGTCACATTGCTCATTTATGCTGCTAACATAGATGTATACTATACCACTATATCTTCCTTGCACTAGAACATTACAGTGTTTTTATACTTGCGTCAGTTACTATGCTAAAGTTAGAGATTTTATTTATTTTTGTTTAGTGCAAAGTTATTGTTTCATTATCTTGTGTTGTGTGCTCCTCTTTCTGTGTCTGGTCACGCAACACTGAAAGGTCCTCTGTGGGACCAATAAAGGAATATGTGGAGTAGGTTGAAGGGGATTTGAATAAAAAATGAAAATATAGGGTGGAATTGTGCACATTTTTAGCATTAAAGTAAGACATATCAGAGTTAAGGGTTTAATAAGCCATGGATCATAGGTCGACCAGTTTATATGGCCACAGTTTGTAGATCAATTTCCCATTTATCGTATTGGACAAGTCTTCTTCCATTGATTATTTAATATTCTTTTAGTCAAATTATTACTATAGTCAGCAAACGATTTATTCAACTCAGGTACTAGTGAACTGTAAGAATATTAGTACTAGGCTCACTCTGAAATCACATGAGAACATGTGCATGGGTCAATCGCTGGACAGAAGTAAATGTAGGACTTTAGACCTGAAAGGGGGGAGGTCGAGGTAGAGTATTGTTTATCCTTTAAAGATCAAGCAGGACCAAACATCTTCAATATAATCATAAAGATAATGTATCAAACTTAAATAGTGCCTTTTATGGTACATCTCAAAGACGCTTTACAAAAACTTAGAATTAAACATTTGAAAAACTAATTAAGGAGCAAGCTGAGACAGGTGGGTTTTGAGAATAGATTTAATGTTATGTAGTAAGTCTGAGTTTCTGATTGTTTGAGGAGTGAAGTTCCAGAGAGTGGGGCGGCTGCAGCGCCGGCTCGGTCCAACAGGTTCGGGATATTATAGATTATTGTTCTGTAATTCCAACTTGAAATGTGAAACCAGTACACCTGAGGAGATTCATCCATGACAAAGTCAATATGCCAAGTCGAAGTGTAATTTTGAAAATATTGTAAGTCCATGCGTTGGGTAGAATGGTAGAGCGATAATGAGTTGGTTGAGGTCGATGTCTTACCTTCAGCAGAAAGAACAAAAACAAAAATGAAGAGAAGACAAAACAGCCATGAATTATATTTGAAAATATCAACCCAACATTAGCCATACAAACTAAAAACTCTAAACATGTTGGGTAAAGGCATTTGTAGTAATAAATCTTTTTGGAAATTGGATGAAGTGAAGAGTTGCATATTGACCTCGAGCGCACACAGCAGATATCTGTGGCTAAACCTCTAGAGGGAGAAACTGAAAGTGCAACTTAAAGTGCGGCACCGAAACTTTTTATGATCATAATTACATGTTTTGTCCGACAGGAAGACGACTTGAATGTTGTGAGCAATGTTTGTCTTATGCCGTCTTATTTTATTATTGATACCACCTTATTAATGGCTATTTTTAGATAAGAAAGAGCTTTGAGACTCACTATTTGACAATTTGAGCTGAGCTGAGAAAGGGTGATCCTTCCTTATACTCTTTTCTGTCTGACAAAGATGTTGAAAAGATCTGACAGAAGCCCAAATATCTGTACCTGAGCCTGTTAAAACTTGTTGATTTAGAGTCTAGTGTTTCATAGCCAAGAAGTTAAGTGGATCTCAATTAAAAAATAAAGATTTTCAATTAATAGTCAGGTAATAGTCATATATTTCCCACAGAGTGTTGTTTGTTGTTACTCCAAAGGGGAAGACTTCAATCAGCTTTGAGTACATAAGTCTTTTTATTATTAAATGTGCCCGATATCAATATTTCTTTTTCTTGTGTTTAGTTTTCATTTGTGCTTGCAGAGGAATGTGCAATAATACTTAAAGTCAAACATTTCTCATTCCAGATGTTATATCAATCTACAGACATATTACAAAACATATCTGTGGCCTTTTCATTAGTGGCACATCATTGTTGCAGACCAGTAAAAAGGCTTCTATCTTGGTGGTTTTTTCTATGGAGATCGTTTCTTTCAAGTCGGAAGGTTAAAACAAAAGTAGCAGACCCTGTAATTTTGCCCATAGCTTCTCCAGAGCTGATGACTCAAGGCTGTTTATAATGTTGATGAATTAACAATGGTGCTTTGAGATGCGTGCATAAATTACACCACATTTAAACAATTACCTGCAATCGCAATGCTGACTATTTGAAACTGGAGGTCACTTTTACACTCACCTAAAACAGTTATGTGGAGCAGGGGAGTGGGCCCATTTTTAACCATTAACAACACTTGTTTACTCATCAAAGCCGGACTAGAGTCGTTTCTAGATCAATCGAAGAGTTATTGGAAACTTCTGGTCAAAACATGTAACTCGAGCCTTCTGTCTAACAGATCCTGTCATAGTATGATGTCATTGAACTACTATGACATATTTTCAGAGCAATTTCGCATTTAAAACATTGTACTTTCCCGTTTATTAGTTTTGTCAAGGTCTCTATTGAAATTACCCCACTTAATCACGATCACGTCACAAACCAAAATTTTTTTTCATTCCACACACTTATACTGTATGTAATAGGAACGCTGATTCTACTCCTCCCTCTTGTGGTAGGTAGAGATAGGGCTGGCTGATAGCTTGCTTCACCCTTATACGTATATTTTGACTGAAGATAATTATTTTTGCATTCTATAACGTGAAATAGAATAAATAAAAAGTTCATTGTCCTGTTTAATAGACCAAAAGATAATGTTATATGTCTTTCTTTAAAACAAAGTCTTGCCACAAATTTCAGTGTTGTCAAATTCTTCAATTGGAAATGTCCTCCTGGATACTTTTCAAATTGGAAAATGATTAACAAATTTTACGCCCTGCCCTGGTCTTGGCATGGGGAGGTTACAGAGGGAAGCATTTTTTTTTCAGATTAATTTCTAGATTATTAATGACGGAAGTGATATTCCCATTTTCCTTTGTAATGGCCAAATAATGCATCACATTTCTCCTTTAAATCCTGATTGGACTTGTTTTTGTCCTCCTCTCTATCTGCTCATCTTTTACGGATGATTTGGGGGAAATTAAAGTTTGCTCACAGCTTAGTCACTGCGTACAGACATGGTCTAGTGCAGTAGCAGCTAAAAGCACAAGATCCATTGAAAGGTCCTGGAGATTCTAATGCGTTTCTAGAAACACAAGTTTCTTTATTAACAGCTTGATCCACATAACAGAATAAAGCATGTACCAATAGTAGCTGATACTGGAGTGATACAGACAGCCTTTACTATATCATTAGAACAGTAGCCTATCCTTAAAGGGGTGCAGGGCGGTAATTGCACCCTCAAAGCAGACCTCTGTGGTGAGCACCCCACCATACAGTTATGAGGCCTTTAGGATTGTGCTGACTCTGAAACAGCATTTAACTGGATAAACAAATTGGGCCGTGCCACAAAAGCCCCAACACCATCACAAACAGGCACGAAACAGCTGGCTTCACCAGTATACATGGAATCTAAAGAAAATTTGATTTTAATACCAATATTTTGTATTGCATTTTAAATACAATCCCTACAAACGATTATAAACGCAACATGAAACAAAAGGAAAAAAACTAAAAATATGTTGGGACACACCATTTTTTACTCTAGAAATTTGTAAATATAAATAATGTATAAGTTGGACAGAAAGGTAAGAAAAAAGATATATGTTATAAGTTTGAAATGGGTTCAAAATTACTATTTAATTAATGAATATAAAAATGTATTTATTACATTAATCGTGCTCTAGTTTCCAATTCTTTAAAAATTTTACTTGGGGTCTATAAAAAAAGTTGAAAAGTTGCTTAAAGTTTGGGGTAACCAACTTTAAAACCCCAAATAACGGAACCTCACTCAGCCATTCCAGCTCTAGCTCAAAGCGTCAAATAGTTGACTTTCTACTTAACAAAAATATGCAAAGATAATAAGATAAAGACAGCAGCCTTGTGGTATGATTTGTTCCACACTATAGGAATTATTTTAAAATACTTACTATTGAGGCAGACAAGCATTTTGATGGGTACAAAAGTTTGAAAAGGGTCAATCTCTGCATGAACTGGAAACTTGACATCCAAGTAGTTAAACTACAAATGCACTCGTTTCCAAAAGTCCAGTGTGTTCAGAGACTTACTGTGAAATAAGCCGTCATGTCGAGCGCTTTGTGCGTAGGCTTCGAGCAGAGGACGCAGAGACACAAAGCGCTGCGGCTGCAAACACATCCAAGTGTTTAATTTTATCCTCGGTCCACCATGCGCCGCCCCTTACCCACTGAAACCCAACACCGGACCAGTTTCAGGACGCAACTGAAGCTGTGTTGGCGTTTACGCGCGAGATCCACCTCTAGCACTAAACAACACACACATCGCCCCACGTCTTAAATAGCAACTCTAGTATTCTGTAGGCACCATGTTTTTCTGAAATGTGAGTCCGTGGAAGCCACAGGTGCTGGTATAGAAAGGTGTCCTGGTTTGTAATTCATTTTTTTCTATTCTGTTCATGGCACACAAGTAGAATTATCAGTAATAACCGAATAACATAGAAATATGATATTTATAATTATTCGGATTTCAAAAAGTGTTCCATGCAACTTATCTTGTGGGGAAACACTGCCATTACTGTGTAAAAGTGAAACTGCACCAAACAGATCTAAGTTCAGTTGTTTATTATTCAGCATTAAACACCTTGGTATTAAATATTTTACAGATTGTGGAATACTTCTATTATTGAAAAGGCATAAAATTTCTCTTTGTTCAGAGCGTGTTGAAGTGTTGTCACGTATGACCGTCGTATTTATTTCTTCGTTGTTTAATGAGTGTTTTGGGGTGTTCATCCCTCTGGGGGACCGCTTTTAGTCCAGCTTTCTCCAAAGTCTCTTGAGATCGCTTTCAAATTCTCTGCAAGTGTAAGGTAACTTTCATTGAATGGCAGACATTAAATGCAACAAATATAAAAGTGAGATTTTATAATTTTTTGTAGGTTGCTTGTTGAAGGACATTTTGGCATAAATAATGTATTTGTATAGTGAATGCCACAGTGATGCTCACCTGTTTCTTTTTGCCTTGCCCTCCATCACTCTCCTCCTCACAAACTTCCTCCGCATTTAGAAGCATTTTGTATTTGTGGCTGGTTCAGCTTCCTCACGACGGAGTTTCAACACATTTTACAGCTGTGAGGTGCGGCCGACCGCTGTCAATTCCTCCATGCCACTGGAACAGGACCCTGTGGAAGACTCCTTCTCTCTAGCCGTTCAGCCTCCTCCTGGGCAGGGTAGGCTCCAGGCAGCAGGGAGGGAGTAGCGTAGAGTACAGCCAGCTCTCCAAAGGGACTCACTGGACTGCTTCGTGGAACCAAAGCCTCCTCAAGGTCAGGCTCCAGCTGGCACCCTTCGTGGAGGCGGTGTGTTAATCTGCTGCAGTCGAATAGAGATGTTTCAGAAAGTGCAAGAAGGAATGAGCCGATGAAGAGGCGTCCCTCTAATGTATAGAACTGTGACGAGAATAACAGCCAATTAAAAACCAACATTTGTATGGAAACATAAAGTAGGTATTAGATAGAGAGCTCACCTGTCACTCTGCATAGCAGCCGAGTCGAAGCGCTTTGAGGTAAAACATCTTATATGTTGCATTAATGAAAACATTTCATCAGGAAACGCTGCACGTATTCTGTGGTAACGTGCAAGAGGTAACATATGCTACTTTATATTTCATCTAACAATCTCCTTCACTGTATTTTTCATTGCTGCAGAAGGCACCGTGTAAATTACTCAAACAAACAACTTGATTATAATTCAATATAGGTTGGAAAGCACCGTGATATAACAGCTAGTTGTGTATATTTGATCATTTTATGTGGCGAGGAAAGCTAATGGTGGTGCTAGCGTAGCTTGCTGTGTCCGTGGGGACATCAGGCTGTCTGGAAACAAACACACAGACCAAGAAGTCAAACAAATACATGTTAATCAAAGCAAAAATGGATGAGTTATAAAACTAACTTGTGGTTTGACGTGAAGATGAAATTAAGGCAAATTTCAATGTGACTCCAGGAGACAAACTTCCGACCATGTGCAACTAGAAATTAGTTACGTTTCCGGGGTCCAGATTTCTCGGAAAGGTTCCTCTCTTCAGAAAGTCTATGCTTCAGACACATTCATTTATTTTTTTCATCAACTTATTACGACATTGATACATATTTATTAATGGACATATTTACTTATATTTACTGGTTGACATGAATCTTTCAATCACACAGCTGAACTTGGATGTATATACATTTGTATTAATTTGTCTACCCTACTCTTTAAACAGCAAGTTGATAAATCAGTATTATGATAAACCGTGACCAGTGTTTATATTTTGTATGTACTTTTATTGTATTCTTGTTTCCTCAACACACATTGTGGCCTGTAGAGGCGCCATACCCCACTTTGGGAATCACTGGGCTAAAACCAAAATCTGTCTCTTTTTTATTAGTGTGTTGCTATGAGTACATTTGATATTTAGTTAGGTTTAAAAGTATTAACTCCTCACATTTTAATGTGCATTGTATATATAATAAAATTGTCCACTCACCTTTGCCCTCGCGGGCGGTCTATCCCTCTCCTAAGTCTCGGGTCCTCTAACCAGAGGCCTGGGAGCTTGAGGGTTTCTGCCAGTATCTTTGCTGTTCCTAGGCACTGCACATTTTGACCGAGATGATCCGGGTTGTTCGGGGATCGCTGTAACCACTCTTCTAGCTTCGGTCACTGCCCTGGAGTGACACCGATCAACCTCGGGCACTACTGTCACCTTTACCCTTCCAGGCCCTCTCCAGTCCTCTCTGAGACCTTGGTATTTCTCAAGCTTTTCATTGTTCTTTTTCCGGATGTTACCATCGCTTGGAATTGTAAATTTACAGGTCCACCACCACGGGCTGTCCTCATGCCCTTTGTCTACCAACCACCCAATGTCAGGTTGTTTCGCCATTACATTTGGTTCGGTCTGTATCTGGAAGTCCCACAGGATCTTCGCCAACGCTCATTCTCCACCACTTTGGAGGAGTTTCCCCACTTAGACCTTGGGGTTTTCCGCCCATACCTTCTGCCAGATGATTCTGTTACACTATGCCAGCCACTTGGTTATGGCGTTCCATGTAGGCCTTCCCTGCCAGCACTCTTGACCTGCTGTTATGTGTTGGATTGTCTCAGGTAGCACTCTTTGCACACCGACACCATTGGGTCTTGTCTGGTGTTGGTATATCTGGCCTCTATCGCTCTGGTGCTCTAGTGCCTGTGCCTGTGCAGCCATGATGAGCGCTTGTGCTGTCCTGTATGCAAGCCTTTCTAGCCCATTGGTTGGGACTTCTTGAGATAGCCACTTTGTTATGCTCCGGTGGTACATGCCGTGTTGGGGCTGTTTATTCCATGATGGCTCTCCTCCCAGCACCTCCTAATCTCGCCACTGCCTGAGTCATTCATGAGTACGTCAGCCGTTTTGCCTACGTCCCTGGATGTAGTTATGGGTTTGGATGTTTCGTCCTGGATAGTCACTAGTCACACTCACAGCTCTCGGCCTCTTCTTTACGCCTTACGTACAGTCTCAGGGTGCTGGATTTGGGATGGAACCCGCATGCTTGGTAAGAGCTTTCGAGTTTTAACATCCGTGGTCTGAATCTTTCCTTTGGCCACCTGATTATATCCTGCAGGGTATCTGACATCACTGGCAGGGCGTAGCTGTTATTGCCCGGGCCTTGTTCTTGCCATTGTAGCCGGCTTCTTAGGACCTGCCTTACTCGCTGGACGGTATTTGGACAGTTGCGCTTTCTCGTCACCTGTTCGAGGTTGAATTTGCCTGGTGGTATACCGAGATACTTGATACTGTCCCTCAACGTCTGCTATTGGTCCCTCTGGGAGTGAGATCCCTTCTGTGTGGACTACCTTGCCTCTCCGAGTCACCATCTGCTACTTTCTGAGTCCGAATGACATCCCGATGTCATGGCTGTAGATCCTGGTTGTTTGGATCAGAGAGGGGTCCCTCCCCACAATGTCACTCTCGCTCTTGGCGTACAGCTTGATGTCATCATGTAGAGGCAGGTGACTGATCTTTGCTCTGTTCTGAGGCGGTATCCATAGCCAGTCTGGTCAATTACTTGGCTTAGAGGGTTGAGGCATATGCAGAACAGTAGTGGGGACAGAGATCACCATTGGTTAGATACCTCATTTTGATGGTCACTTGTGCGAGCGCTTGCCATGTGCCTCATGGTGGTCTGCCCTACATTCCCATCGAGTTTGCAACGAAGTCCCTTAGAGCCCTGTGATATTGTACAACTTCAAGCATTCCATGATCCATGTGTGTGGCATTGAGTAGTAGGCTTTTGGTAATCTATCCAGGCTGTGCAAAGGTTGGTCGTTGTCGTGACCGGCAGTCTTGGGGCGCCTGTTCTTGTCAACAGGAGATGGTGTTTGCTTCCTCTGGTGTCCCTACCAGTGCCTTCTGGCTGTGTCATGAATTTGTTCCCATATGCCCACTTATCTAGCCGCACAATGATGCCTGACATGAGCTTCCATGTTGTGGAAGAGACAGGTTATTGGCCGGTAGTTGGAGGGACTGCACCTTGGCTGGGTCCTTCATGATCAGGGACCGTCGCCCTGCGGGAGCCATTCTGGATGGTCACCATCTCTCTGGCAGCTGGTCATTTGTGTGCTAGGAGCGTCAAGGTGTGATGTGAGTGTCTTAGCACAGTAGCATGGACATATCAGGGCCAGGTGCTGTCCAGTTTTTCATACCTGAGACCTCTTTCTCGGATGTCTTCCTCTGTGATGGTAACTGAGTTCTGTTCTGGGAGGTGGCTGTGCTCCTCTCTCAGGGGACACCAGCCATTGTGCATCTATTGTTATGTGCATGCATCCTTCTCCATATGTTCTTCCAGAAACTGTTCAGTTTCCCAGCCTCGGTGGGTTGCTCCCTGTTGGTACCCTGACCACTGTGGTACACTTCGCGGTTGTGTTGCGAACAGCCTGTTCACCCTTCTGGCTGCAATTCTCTTTAGTGTACCTCTGTAGGCGGCGGGCCTGGGCTTGGAGCCTGTTGTTTGGCAGTTGTCGAGTGCTTCAGGCTTTGGGTCTATCTGGCTGTACTTTCTGGGTACTGGGTCTTTTCTTGAACCTCTCTGGGCTCTGTTAATTGTCTCACCTTCTCTCCGAGCCGCCTTGATCTTAGCTCCAACGCTTTTCCATGGTGGGTATTGTCCATGGCTCCATGTTGCTCTTATAAGCCAAGCATCTCCCCCCAGGATCACTGCTGCTGAAGTGTATATCAGACTCATTGGTTTCAGTGATTGTTGTGGTAGGTATCTGCCCTCACTGCTGCATTACTCAGCTTTCTTGGGATCCTTAGTGGTTACTTCACACAACGCTGTAGCCGGTGTCTTTGCCCTGTGCCCATTTTGACAGGATCTTAGCTTTCAGGTCAGTCGCTGCCTCGATATCCCAGCGTTATCAGTTCCATTGGGGCTATGTACCCAATACCTGGTTGGGGGAGTTGCAGTTGGTGGGATCTCCCCTTGACCTCGGCAACTGTGGCATCATACTTGGGTTGTACCTATCAATCTCAATATATATTATATAAATAGTCCTTATATTCATAGAAAATAATGACTATATATAGACAAACACTGAGTAAGTAAATGAAATTGACTGTGAAATCTAAACCTAACAATCTTTAAAATTGGCCTTTTTCCATATTACCCCGGAGTCTGTGTCATGTCTCTCCATGATCTCACACCCAAAGGACATCTGTGACATATGAACAGCCTGAGGAGCCGGGATCTGGCTCCTGCTTGGACTCTGAGGAGCACAGGGATTGGCCCCTGCTTGGGACTTTGAGGAGCACAGGGAGGCCCCCTTTTTCCTTCAAAAATATTCTCTCAAAAACTATGCCGGAGTGGAAAAAGAAGAAATATATGTATTAAAAAATACTGGACTAATTTTAAGGCGCAATTATGTTGTATTAAAAACAGTATGTGATTTTGTATGTACTTTTATGTATTCTTGTTTCCTCAACTACATTGTGGCCTTTTGAGGGGGGCGCCCAAAGCCCACTTTAGGAATCAATGTGGCTAAAACCAAATCTGTCTCTTTTTATTCAATATTCACGTTTATTAACTGTGGGTGTATTGTTGTCATGGAGACGGTAGTTGTATATATTCAAAGAACCCTCGTTGTATGGGAGACATAAGTTGTATATATCTAACTGCTGCTCCGCCTCATTCACTTTGAGTTGGTCTCGGACGTTGTGTGGATCTGTGATCTCTCCGTTCATTTGCGTTTGAGGATAAGCGGGTGGTAATAACACTGAGGCATAGACCTTTGCAAAACCAGTTTGTTGACACTTTTCAGGGGGTTTCTGGAAATCATCTTTGACGGTTCACTTTGTGATGGATGGCTCGCCCCTCCCACGCCCTGCCCTGTTCCCTGGAGGTAATACCACCTGAAATGATCATGAATCGGAATTATATAAATGACCACAACGTGTATTGAACAATTGTTAGTAGTAGTAGTATTGTATTGTGTGGCTAATTCAATGAGCCATCGTGTTTGTGAGA